ATTTTGGGATGTTAAAATGCATCCATTGAGCAACTAGTTATCTTGGAATTTCTATTTTGTATTTTGTTGTTGTTAATGCGCTCACTACAATAAGTAGTATAAAAGCAACCAAATCAGGCAGAAGAATATAATAATGTTAGATGATGAACTATTAGAGAATTCTTAAGTGTAGAGATTCTGTCTTTACTAGAAAGCTAGCTATTAGAAAATTGTGGATTTAAAAATAAAGTTTTGAAAGGGAAATTAAAAGTGGCTAAAATAGGGGTTTTTTAAAAGTTCTTGTCTAAAATGTTGGATTATCCACCCAGCTCTGCTCTGGGTGAAAAGTATGCTAGAGGATTGAAACATGTGGTGAGAAGGTTGAGAACAGATATTTGTAGGAATGAATGGTAGATAGAGTTGATTTAATCATCTTTACAAACAACCCTTGTAAAAACAAACAAAAACCTTCCCCCTTAAGAGAAGACTGATCCTCACTAAATTGTAAAGAATGTTATGACATATCATTGTAAACTGAGCAATAGCAAATGTTAATGGAAGGATAATACAAATTGAGAACCTTACGCACGGTGCATATACGCATACATGAAACAGATTCAATCGATGAGAAAATAAAAGAAAAAAATACTTGCCTCTCTTTATAGAGACTTTGGCACACGTTCTGGCAGATCTATTAACCTTTTCCCCTGGCTAGCTGATGCTGCTGTTAAGAAAATTCCAAACACTGCCACAACTGTCAAACTGCGTGGAGCCAGGTCAACTGAAATAGTTTTCTATCTCCATTCTGTAATTCTGTAATACACAAACACTGTATGAACTGTTACACCCTACTGAGATTACCAATATGCAGTCAGATGTGGAAGCTTGCTAATAAGATTTTGAAATCTTGCCTGGTTTCTCAGTTTCATTGTCAGAGTGTCACAAATCCGTAGGAACCCCTTAAGATTCTGCATCTGTTCTCTTAATACAGTGGTAATGACAATATAACCCTTACTGCTGTGCTTGCTTATACTATGTGTTTTAAAATGAGGAAAGTGCAATGACATCAAGGTACTTTGTCTGTAGGAGACTGATCTCTATTAATAGCTTAAAGAGTGACTCTGTTTTGATAAGTGACTCTGTACAAATGGCATCATCAGGTCCCATTTTTAATGATCTCAATGATTTCCATATGCACTTAATTTACAAATAAAATATTTCCCCCTAAGTAACGGCCCTGCAAACTCAACTTGGGGCCTGGTAGTCAATCTGGGTCTTCCCTTTTAGCATATCACTAATAATGAAGGTTTGCACAGGCATGACTGTCTGGAACTTAGTAAACAATTCTACTGATATCACGTGAAAAGGAATAGAAACCAGTTCACTCAATACTGGTTGTGTTGGCTCTATAGGGTTACAGGACTAAAAAAACAGTAAAAACTAAAATCTGTATATTGTATATGAGTCCAACTAATATATCCAGGGTGAAATCCTGGCCCTATGAAGTCAATAGTCAAGATTTCACCCACAGGGAGTACATCCATTGTGTAAGAGAATAACATTGTTACACCTACAGCCCCCAACTGTAGGATGTACAACCTATCCTGAAGAATGATCCCTCACTCTCACAGACCTCGGGAGCCAGGCCAGTCCTCGCTTACAGACAGTCCCCCAACCTGAAGCAAATACTCACCAGCAACTACACACCACACAACAAAAACACTAACCCAGGCACCTATCCTTGCAACAAACCCCGTTGCCAACTCTGTCCGCATATCTATTCCAGGGACACCATTATAGGACCTAACCACATCAGCCACACCATTGGGGGCTCGTTCACCTGCACATCTACCAATGTGATATATGCCATCATGTGCCAGCAATGGCCCTCTGCCACGTACATTGGCCAAACCAGACAGTCTCTACACAAAAGAATAAATGGACACAAATCAGACATCAAGAATTATAACATTCAAAAACCAGCAGGAGAGCACTTCAGTCTCCCTGGACACTCAATAACAGACTTAAAAGTGGCAATTCTTCAACAAAAAAACCTTCAAAAACAGATTCCAACAAGAAACTGTAGAACTGGAATTAATTTGCAAACTGGAAACCATCAAATTAGGCCTGAATAAAGACCTAATAAGCTTTCGTGGGTGAATAGCCACTTCGTCAGGCGCAGTGGGTATTCTCCCACAAAAGCTTATGCTTCAGTACTTCTGTTAGTCTATAAGGTGCCACAGGACTCTTTGTTGCTTTTTACAGATCCAGACTAACAGGCTACCTGATACCTGAGAGCCAAGTTTTCCCACATTTAGGTAACTACTCAGTGAAATGCTATTACCTGGCTATTATTTTTAATACCAGATCAAGACACCTATTGATACCATACTCAACACCAAGACACCCCTTTCTCTGTGCACAATAACTGCAGATACCTATGGTACCAACCTGGAAGTGACTATTAGTTAAAAATAAAAACACCCTATGTGTCACATGCTGAATTGTATGTCCAGGGTTTAAAGTGGTTTTGAGGAAGTGCTGTTCTTGTCAAGACCCAGTGATAGGATTTCAATAAATTGTTTATAAGAAAACAAAGTCTTAGACAGCTTAAGTGCATGTAGTTTCTCTCTGCAGCAATTACTGAAATACCTGAAGTATCAAAATTTTTTGGCCAATTTTGTGATGTTGTTCAATCTAGCTTTCTGTGGTGGCATTAGCCCATTCGGAGAATGAGTCTGTTATTTTAATATAGTATTGTGACTAAAGCACAGGGATCCTAGATCCTATTGCTGGTGGTGCCTGACATGGATTTGATGCATGACCATGTTCAAGTCACTTTAAATTCTATTTCTCAGTCTACAGTGTCATCTCTAAAATTTGGTTAATACTTCCCACTCTCACAGTGATTTGTTTGTAGAATGCTTTGAGATTTTTGGCTAGAATGTGATACAAGAACAAAGTATTATTAATTATAATTTCTTGATGGTAGTTTGGAAAGGTGACCCTTTAGAAATGACAAAATTTGGAGCAAACTTAAGAAACCTTTCCCCCCTCTCTATTTGCCTTTAATCTCTCCTTGTTTTTATCCAAAAGATGCCGCAACAGATGCGGGTACAGTTTGTATTATTGATAGTGCCAGACAGAGCATTATTTGCTCTCTCATTGTTGTCTCCTGAGGGATCTCACATGACAGGTCCCATCCTTTGCAGCCTTTGCAGCATTTATTATGGGCATCTGGTCTCTCGGTTGTCTGTTGAGCTACTTTAGAGTGGCCAGGTATTTCTTATTATTTTATTTATTGCTTTTTAATATTTTTTCCTGATGTTAAAATTCTCCATTGATTGTAATTAGGTTTCTGAACCTTGGTGGGGACTTGGTGTGCTACCATCATAATCTTGCTCATTGAGCACTTTTTCCTAACATGTATTTAGTTCTAACCTTTACTTACTAGATTTCCACCCCCCTCCCATTAAACAGTGGTCAAGAGGACACCTTACATGTGTCTCAAACAATACAAAGGATTCAATGTGAATTGCTTCTGATACCTAGTCTGTAAGTGTGGCATAAAAGTAATTTTATGGGGTAGGGGTAGGCTCAATTCTAAACCGTAATTGTATAGGGGCACTGAAGCATCAAAAAGTCAGGTTGGAACATAGCCACATGGCTAATACGTCCATACTACAGATCCCAAGAAAGGGATATGCTTTGATTAAATTTTTATTCTACATGCCAGCCACATATGCATATGTAAAGTATCTGAACAAATTTAATGTGTAGGTTATAGTTGGAATGAACAATGCATATATTCCTCTTCGAGGCCCTGATCCAAAGCCAACTGAAGTCAATGGAAAAATGTGTTTTCTTCAGTGGCCATTTGATAGAGGCTCAGATGCATAGTCAATATGGAGCTGCATGCATACATGTGATTTTGCTCATGTTTCAGCTGATACAGAGGTCCAAATGCAACATCCAGGACTCCAGAGCTTTACCCTGGTTTCTAAATGACTAAAGATGAAGTGATTCTGAACACTGTTTATGTATTTAGACAAAGGAGTTATTCATTGTAACAACTTTGCTTCATCTGCTTATATATGTAGTGTCAAATGGGAAATTAGAATTCATCATGCATTTGAAAATATATGAAGTATAACTTCCTTTAAGGGATTTCACCACCATTTAATGTAATTAAAGTAAATGACAGTGTAATCCCTGAAGAAAAATGAGAGCATCCAACAGAATTCCCACCAGAAGAGCATTCTGAAATGCATCTAAATGGATGGTTGCAAATTAAGTACAAATATTTTTAGGCATACTATGTCTGAAAGAAAAATGTAGAGAACATGAAAAAATATGGGGACAAATCCCTTATTTGGGAAAACTGCCCTTGTTTCAGGTGGTCTGGGTTCTGTTTCCTTCTGTTGTTTTTGTTTGACCCGGGACAAATAACTTTTATCCCTGTATCTCACTTCCCCATTCTGTGAAATGACCTCACTATGTTTTTGTAGTGGGGAATTGACACCTTAAATAAACACTTGATTTTATAAATTCCCCTTCTCATTTGTTGGCCAAAAAAGTGATTAAATTAATGTGTAATATAATTACTATTTACATATTTTGCTTTAATTCAATCTGTGTTTAATAATGCCATGTACAGCAACAACTAAAATCAAGTTTACAGGCATGTTTGTTAGGGGTGGACGCTTGAATGAATAAGGTAATTCAAGCACACACACTTCTGTTATTACTTCACAAGAAGGTTCCTTTGGGCTTCTGTGCTGTAGATTCATGACCACTAGTTATGGCATTGATAGGAATTTAATTTTCCCTGCCCCTCTTGTAGTTGGCCTTGTGATAAATATAGAACTTCAGCTCTGTGTTCTATAACATTAAGAACTAAAAGCTACTGCTGCTCAAATATATATTCAATGTAAACAATATTGCCCTGAATTGTGCTTTAATACCAACAGTTTATCACTTTAACATAAGTGCTTATGATTATCTTTGTTTGCTTTTTCTAGTGTAAAACTTTGTCTGGAATCTGTGACCACATCATCTCTCTCTCATCTGACTCTCTGGTGTCTCAGTCAGCACATCTTGAAGTAGTTCACCTTACTAGCGTTATGCCCAGTGAGGGCTTGGTAAGTAAGAATATAGCTAATTCCTTTTGAATATTAAACTCAAGCATCTATCCTTTAGAGTGTTTTCTTTTTTTTAATTTGCCAAGAAACCAAAGTGCATTTGTTTTATGCAGTTTCCAGCTTTTTGTACTAGTGCAAGCTTTAGCTGATTTCTATAAGTGGTTTAACTACAGTCTTTATCTGTATTAAAATAAAATAAATCTACAGTACTTAAAGCACCGGAGGTAACCAGAAAACATATTGACAGCAAAAGTAGAGCATTGTAATCTGTAGTGAGCTGTAATATAGCTGTTGGACAACAGCAAGATTATTGATTTTATTTTTATGTATAAAAAATGTTGGGCTCCAATATAGAAGTTAATCAGCTGCATAAAATAAATAATGTGAGAGATGGTACCACAAGTTTAAAGGAAAGTGATCATATTGTTTTTCTTATATTTAATTTAAAGGCTTTTATGGATTTTACTTCAAATTTCAGCAAGATTACTTTATTAAGGAAGACCAAAACCAACCAACCAACCAAAAATCCCCAAAGATTTGTAGATGATATTTACAAACAGACACTGGGACAGATTCACCCATATGTGCAGCTGCATTGCACCATTCCACAGTTACAAATCAGCTGTAAATCCAGTTGATCTGGTCAGTTAAGCCAGGTCTATAGCTATCTTGCATCCACAGAGAAGCACAAAATCAATGAGAGTATACTAGTGAATCTGGGCCCATGTCTCTTTTTACAGATTGTATTATATTTCTCAGTTATAATCCAGAATTCCACATTTCTTCCATTTCCGCTAATAATAAAATATTAGTCTCTCAACATCTTTGCATTTTGAAGCCTGATGCTGAGTAGTAACGATAACCTGCAGATTCTATAATGTGATTATTGTGCAGGATGTGGGGCCGATGTGTATTCATTTATGAATAATATATGGATATATTGGGTTATGAGAATGTTTGCTGTATGGAGTTAATTCACTGTTTGCATGGACTGGTTTAGTTAATAGTAGGGATCTTGGGAATCAAGCAGGAAGCTAAAACAATGAATCCAAATAAAACATCTCCTGGTTAACAGATTCGGAGGTTAAGAAACAATACCTGAGCTATTAGCTGTGAAGATGCTACTTCCAGGCTCCAGCCAAAGTTACACAGCTGTTTTACCAAGGGTGAGAACACACAGTTCAAAAGGATGTTAAACAGTTAAAAACTCTGTCAAGAGCGGGAGGCAGTTGTCAGGGGCTGTTATCATGAGAAACAGGCTGACTCTGACACTGGTCCTCTGTGTGGGGAGGGGATTTGAAGGAGGTGGACATGCCTGAACTTCCTGGGGATTGATAAGCCTTGGGAAGATATACATTCATATAGACTGTTTAATTGTTTGCAAATCCTTTTGCTCTTATGATTTCTGTTCCTACTGCTAAGATTAAACAATACTTTTCTTTCAGAAAGCTGCCTGGTCACTGTATTAACTAGAGGTCAGTTTCCTAAGGGAAGACTTTAAGGTGCCAAGCCCAGTCAGTCCTGCTGAGCAGACACTGAGGCAATAGTCCGAGACTAGTCTAAGAATGGGAAAATCACAGGATTCCCCCCGAACGCACAGGGCAGGTAAAGGCTAGAGGTCTAATACCTGAGGGGCATGCACTCAGAGAGTCTGGAGAGGGGTCAAAAGTGCAGCTAGTCCAGTGACCATGACAATTATAATGCCAAAAAAAATTTAATTGAAAAACTATATATAAAAGAGACCTTATATTGCAATAATGAATGATTGGGAAGGAGATCATACTGGATCTAGAAACATTGGCAGCAAGATGAGACCACTTAGCAGACCTCAGACTGGCTGATTTAAGGATCAGACAGGCTTATCTGATTGCATCTCTTGTGCAAGAAGGCTGCTTATATACCACATGGGTCCAGCTATAGGAGTGAGCAGGAGAGACCCATACAGTCTCTAGGTAGGTAATTCTTCTAATTGGTTGAGTCCACTCCTGTATCTGGCTACCAGCTTGCAAGCTAAGCCGCCATTACTTTTTTTATTAAATGCTTATTTCATGTAGATCTCTTAATGCTACAAAACAGCCATTCAGTTTCTCTGTGGCTCCACTGTGAATAACTAGTTTTCTGCTGGCCCAGATCTACTCTGTGCATTTCAGGCCACCCCTTTCCTTAGGGGGAATTCTTTAACAGCCAAGTTTTCCAAAAAATAATTCTTTAAAGTAATAATTTTAACTGGAAGTGTTTTTTGGATACACTGATGATCAGCTTGACAGATATCTGCATATTTAATATTTCTCATTCAAAATAAAAATAAAGAACTACACAATTTGGAAGAACTCAGTATTTTAAATTTAAAAATAGAAAGCATCTCTCCTCATATGGTAATAGTACACATTAGGGAATTTTGGCTGTGTAGTTATCAGAGTTTTAAAGTATCACAAAAATACTTTTTGGTTCATTTTCATTGCAGAAATGTATTTTATAAGAAATTTACTTCAGTGAATAGCTGCTGGTGTCACAAGTTGGTTATTTTCCAGTTGAAGTTAAATAAAAAGCTATTTTAAATAAGTATGATTCGTCTTACAGGTGATTTTTGTAGAGGTCAGCGTGGAGTAACAAATTGGCTTTTTTCACTTCTTGAAACCTGAATTCAAATCCTGATTTGGCAGTTTCATTATTATCCCTGTCATTTACCTAAATTACACAGTCACCTCACAATATTGTAGGATGGTAGTTTCTAGCAAGAAACAGTGCAAGTCTGAATTAACAAATATCATATTTAAACCAAAACAATTCCAAAGATTTTTTTTTACAAATGTTATAAACAAAAAACACTTCACCCATCACTGAAATGCAGCCTTCTATATGGTGAAATCATTATTAGGCACAACAATACAATACATACTTTAGGTGGGAAGGTGAAGAATGCTGTAATCAAAACAGCTAGTGAGACTATAGGTAGGTAAAATGTAATTACCATGGATGGTTGAGCTTATTTTGCCTAATTCTGAAAGAGCTGGAATATTATAGGTTTGGAAGTTCCTTGCAAACGTCAACATTCCTGGGTCCATATTCTTAGAAAAGGTCGGAAAAAAGGAACAATGAAAGGGCAGAAAGGAAAAAACCTTTAGGAAAATATAGGATGAAAAATAGAGTAGAGAATGGATTACAAATTATTAGAATCTTTAATTACATAGTCACATTGTATTTTCCACAGGACCCCTGCCTCAGTCCGTGCATGTATGCATATGGGTTCCCAGACACTATTTACTACATATTAACCAAGTTCTGTACTGCAGTGGATTATTAATTTTTTGATGGGCATTTTTATGGCACTCTTCACTGTAGTATCTGTATGCTTCACAGACATTAATAAGTTTATTTTCACAACGCCCTTGTGTGGTAAGGTGGTATTATTATCCCAGTTTTATAGGAAGTGAACTCAGGCACAGAGAGATTAAGGTTAAAATTGTCAAAAGTGTCCATTAATTTTGGATGCCCAGCTTGAGATGCCTAGGGCTTGATTTTGCAGAGTATTTTACATTTTTATAGACCTATTTAAAGCACAGCATCTATTGACTTCAGTTGCAGCTGTGAGTGCTCAGCACTTCTGCAAATCTGACTCCAGGCATCTGAGCACCCATAAAATTAGTGGTCATCTATGAAAAATATGGTTTGTGACTTGCTCAGCCTCTCTCTTAGGACCTCTGTGACTGAGGCAGAGATGGAATTCTTTTCTCGAAAGTGACTCTGACATTTTGGGGATTCACCCAGATTACTAAGAGGTCGTGTCATCACCTGTCCTGTAACCCTGGGAGTTTCTGTGCTGTGCATCTTTGGTTCAGATCCCTGACACCAGTAGCCTACTTACAGCACAATGACCTCACCCTGGCTTCCACCAGCCTGGTTATTCCTTGCAGGGTGACACCAACAGTTCGTCCAGCCTTGAGTTGCCCCCAAATCATCTCCCCTGCAGTGCTCAGTTCCTCTCACTATAGCTCCTTATCAATTTCGCTGCGCCTTTAAAGAGACAGTACGCAGCACTGGTACGGTCCAAACCTCTTAATTTGGTTGAGGATTTTATCCTTCAGTTTGAAACACTGCACTTCTTCTTCGTATGGCTGATGTGGATGTAGAGCAACAACTGTAATTTTATATTTAGATGGTTAAGCCAGACAATTGCATCAGGAGTAGCGGAGCATAATGCTGTGATGCCTCTTTCATATTTGGGAATCAGCCATTGAGTCATTATATGCTCCATGGTCTGTTCTGGGTGACCACAGTCGCACACTGGAGAGTTTTTAATTTTCCATTTGTGCATCAAGTACCCACATCAAGTAACACTGCACTGAGATGGCTGTAAAATTTATTAATAAAGAACAGATATTTAAGTGATACCAAGTAGAAGGAATTGAGATAGAAATGGTTACAAACAAACCAAAGTAAAATTACGATTCTAAAACAAAAACCTAGCTTAACAAACTAGAGCATTTTGTTCAACATAGATTTCTCATGACAATTGTTCTTCCAACATGGCTGGTCAGTTCTTAGCCAGGGTCCAATACAGACCTTAAAGTGCTTGGTTTCTTTGTCTCTTCGGGTGAAGGATACCAAAATGGCTTTTTCTCTCTGCTCAGATCTTCAAAGTTTTATCTTTGTTCTCAAAGACAAGAAGCCCTCCTGAGGCCTCAGCTTGCTATTTTTACGAGAGCGCTGATGCCAGGTTAATTTTTGCAGTCTCCTCCCCCAATAGTTACGTGGCTGCCTTCGCCACTCACTAATTTGATGGCTTTAACTTTTATGTAAATGTAATTCTATTGTGTCTGTTCAATTTACATAGGAGACACATTCAAGCAGGCAGGACCACATTCCTTTGTCTAGGGCAGAGTGACTTAAGTCCTACCTGCCCAAATGCATTTTAAGAACCTATTTCCAGCTCATATTTATAACTTTTCATACATATCATCCATACATACACACACAATAATATTAACTGTCCAGTGTGT